GAATGAATTCCATTATGCTCATCTTGTGCAGGTAATAAATATTACAGGACTCCTCTGGAAAATTTAAGTGATAAAATTCTGCTGTCTTTGCCAAGATTCTCATTTTTGCATTCAATGAAACATATTCCAGGGTGGTGGAAACCAGAGTTTCTGCTTTGTAGCAAATTTTATTGTTGGTGTTTTTTAATTGGATTTTGGACTTTGGTTTTTAGGATCACCAGCCTTGGAGCAGGAATCCAGGCTTGGTCCTGACTCAACTGGTTTCGGACCTGGGGAAAGTTTGGAACAAGATATTTTAAATGAACAGCATTTTCCTTGGAAAAACCCTGACAATTTGAAGTGTCTATTACTTCATACTGCTGATCAATTGGCTTTGTTATGCAAAGGAGCCAGACTCCTGTCCCAGCTGCCAAAACCTTGCATTTTCCCTGGCTATGCTCAGTGAGGCAGCCATGCAGGTACCCCAGCTTTCCCTCCACCAAGTCACCTCTGCCCAGTTGTGTGATGTCTCCCCTCGCAATTGCAAGGCTGAAAACGTAGCTGTTGTGTCCAAGTGCCACTCTGATGGTAAACATGAAATATACTGGCTATTTACACTAAGAAACATAGCAGCCCTACAGCAAAAGGTCTCCTGACTGCCAGCATTTCTTAACTGCCATTTTACTTCCAGAGTAACTGGGATAAGGCCTCAGGGGAAAAAAATGTGTCAAGGAACAGCACGAAATATGAAGTCCCTTTTCTTTAGCAGCAGCTGCTCTTCCTGCACTTGGCAATGAGCGAACAGACATGAAGAGAGCCTGCAACATCTTTGTGCCCAAAGTGGAGCTTGTCGATTGATTTCCTCCAAGAGCAATGGGAATGTCAGAAATTCCTGCCCCAGTGGGTTGTTCCTGTCCAGAAGTTTTAGCTTGCATCGTGACACAGAAGCGGTACGCACACTGCCCCGGGGTACCCCTGTGAGTATCCTGGTGTCCCTGGCACAGCAAGCTGCACGTTGTGGCTGCCAGCACTGTACCCACGAGGGAAAACAGACGCTTACAGCACACCCTGGGCAGCCTGTGTAGCCCGAGGGCATGTAGCCTTCCCATCTGCTGGCCAAGTAACACAGGACATCCCGTGTTGTTCTTGTTCAGGGCTGTCACAGGTAATCTCGGTGTGCTGGAGAGTTGCCCATTTTTCTGTAACAAAAGAGGAAAGAAGAACGTGGTAAAATCACTCATTTAAAAAAGCTTCGTATGCAAGGAAGGATGGAGGGAGATACCTCTCCACCAGGAATGGAAGAGGAGAATGATTGGTTCTTTTTAGGAAGGCTGCTTTTTAGGAAAGCTTGGCTGCTTTCTTATCAGTCACTCCCAGACAGCTGGAGGGCCTCCTGCTGTGCTTTGCCCAGCACAGGAGTAAACCTACGCCTCTACCACAGAAAGTGGAGGCCTCACCAGCCAACATCCTCTGAAATCAGCCTTGGGAACTCCACAGGCTCCATGTGCATCTCTCTGCATGTGCCACTGCTGGTGAAGGCATTGCTTGCAAAATAGTTTTGAGACCCTCTGGCTTTTTGACTTTATTTTTTTTTTGTCTAAAAGTACCCTTCCTAAAACTTTGGAGAAAGGATGAGAAAAAGGGAAAACCAAATGCAACAGACATTTTTACATCATTATAGAACTGTTCAGATGAGAGTGGGAATCCTGAAAGTTCTCTGATGACTGGAAAGATTTTAATATCTTTGGAAAGCTCCTTGCAGAAGTGGAATTCTGGATTTTGGCTGGCATTCCCCAGGAGCTGTTGCCAGCTCTCTTACAGGTCAGGTAGAAAGCACATGGGCTCCGGTGTGCTGCAGGGCTGTACGTTCCTTGACTTGTTTTGCCTCTGTGACAGTCCCCAGTCCTCATTTCAAGTTTAAAAATTCTGCAAAAAGGTGAAGGCTTGGACATTATCTTGTGCAAGTGCAAATGGAAACTTTGTTTGATCCCTCTACTGCCCATAGTCTTTGCTAATGGAGATTCTCTGTGTAACTCCCCATTAAAAGCAGCAGTTGGAGGTCAGGAAGAATATCAGTTACCTAATGTTTGAAACATCCGTTTAGCTGCTGGGAGCACCATTTGATCTTGAGCAGGATGCTGAGGTGAGTTCATTTTTTAAGTGTCAGGTAGGCTGACGACTTCCCTCCACGTTTGCACTTTATGGGTGTAAATGCAACCTGAAGAATAAAAAGAAATCTCGTGCTTCCTGTAAACAGTTTTATATAAAAGCATCACATGAAAGGCTGTTAGATGAAAAAAATACTCTATTATTGAGTGCCTGGAAAAAATCACTTAGGCATGATTTTAGTCCTTGGCAGTAGCTATTCTGATGTATACTGTTTGTTTTAAGAAATCTAGAACACTGTTTCTACAATGGCTTTCTTAAGACCATCTATATGGAGACAAATACAGGGAATCTGTTACGGATTAGCAGACAGAGACTCCCCTTTGGGTGGGTAAGACCACGTAAAGGTGCAGAAGACCTCTGACCATTTTACCTGGGATTTAATCCAGACAATGTTGGGATAGCAGTGGCATGACCCTGTAACCAAGTAAGCCTAAAGGTTGGCAGTCATTAGGGGATTTTTCCTTGTACTGCGACCAATGTGCATTGACAGAGAATCCTCTCTCCTCACTTCCTCAGGTTCTTTAGACTGGTTGAAAGGTGTTGAACATATTACTTTTAGAGGGCTTTCATCTTTATGGGAACAGGGTTACGGCGCTCTCCTTGTGTATTTATGGTTGTATCTGCAAAAAAGAAAAAATACGAGCAGCAGAAGAAAGAAGAACCTAGGAAAGTCTGAAGACACTCAAATGAGACAAGCAAAAATACATTTGGGGAGGAAGAGGTGTAAATCAAAGATCTCATAATGGAAGAACTCAACAGTAACTTTTGTCTTTTCTGGTGACAAAATTATTTTGGTCATTACTTTTTTTTTTTGTGTTTAGTCTTGTATTCTGTCACAGAAATGAAAGTTGAAAGTGAGATCTCTGGCCTGACAACAGAAACAGATTGAGAATTCTGAGCCTTGGTATGTCCCTAGCAGAAAATAAGTGCCAGTAGGAAACAAAAAGATCCCTTAAATAGGGAAATTGGTGGCACAGGTCATCATCTATTTTGACAAGTCTTTTTCTCTTGTGTCATTTGTTGTTTTTGCTGTTATCTCTGGGAATGATCAAGGAGGCTGATATGTCATCGGAGAGCAGGAGAGAGGTCGCACATGAAGCATGTTTTCTGTACTGCCTTTAATTGAACCTTCCCTGCTGCCCTGCCAGGCTGGTGGCTTTTCTGCACAGAACTAGCCGCAGGCAGCGCCTTCAGAGAAGCCAGTTCAGTGTGACAGCTTGGCTAGGGCTAGGCAGAAGTCTTGAGATATGGCAGAAGAACTGAAAAAATTGATAGGGGAAGAATTTTTGAGAAGAGGAGATGGAAAACAGATAAATCTAGAGAGAGGAAGGCAGCCATAAAAGGTCAGTAAAATGCATAATGGAGGCAGACAGGACACAGTCTTTCAATGTTTAAAGAACCTTCTTTATACATGTGACATTTATGGCTACGTGAGCTGGTCTTATGCAGCTAGATATTTTTCCCAGGAAACCTTTAAACTATTCAAATGTCCTAATTTTATTTTTGTGGTGCTTGTCAGAGCTGCTTATTTGAAGATCTCAGGCAGTCTGCGAGTGCTAGTACTAAGGGAGGGGCTAACAAAATGGCCAGAGAGAATGCCCTCACTGTGTTTAGTGAGGCATACCTGCCTTCGTTTGCTTGTAATTCATGAATATTTAGTTGCCAGTCACCATGGTGAAGACGTACAGGTCCGAAGAGGAGGCAGCATCTTTCCTATCTCCTGATGCCATTGTCCCTGGGGGAGGAGGGACAGAAACCAGAGCCTCTTATTTCAAATATCCCTCTCTTGGGGCATCCTCCAAGGATTTTAAAGTCATTTCATCTATCTCTATAGCCCTGGTTTCACGTTTTCCTTGAATTCTCATTTAATAAGGCCATCCTTATTAAATTTACCATTTCTTATTTACCTTTTCTATGTTGTAGCTCTACAAGTGCTTCACAGTGAAAGTCAGGATGGGTCTTATTTTACAATAGGAGGTGAGGTTGAAAGAGGCAAGACAGCGTTGCCCCTGTGATCCTGCTGTACCTGACTGGAGGTTTCCACTAGGAAGTCTCCAGAGGCTGTTTGCCCACTGAAGCAGAGGAGTGAGTGGGGGAACAGCTCCCTCACCCCTTGCCCCTGCTCATCAGAAGTGGCCAGCTGACACGTGGCAAATCTTGGCCTCTTGGAGGGCTGGTCAAGTGACATGTTGTCCTCATTAAATCTTCAGGTAAAAGAAATGCTGAAAAAGGTAAACGTGTTCAAGAGGGGAATTGGCTCCCTGGGGGTACTTTCTCTGCTGTACTTTAACACTATTACAGTGAAATACCATGGGATACTGGATGCTCTTTTTGTATAAGAGAAGCTATGTGATTTGAAGCTGTATGATATTGAGTTTTCTGGGCTAAATAACACCCAGTGACATAAACCCGTCTCTTTGGTCCCTGCCTTCTTGCAGCATTCACAGTTTCTATCTGGCTTGCTTGCTTGCCTGCTTGCCTAGTGTGTTGCTGAACCCTCAAGAGGGTTAAGAAGCAGTGCCATCTTCAGACCTGGGCTGAGAGCCAGAAGCAACGCAGCAATGGTGTTAACTCTCCAAGGCAGAATCAGTCCTGTGTTTGAGATTTCTTTCTCTATAACCTGGACAAGAAAGAGCTGTTAAAAGCTAAGTAAATGATAAATATTGAAGGTGCGTTAAATCGTCAGTGAGTTACTGAACTCGGGTACCCAGCTGGCTTGCCAGAAGCTCGAGATGCAGTTGTGTGTTCTTACGGTGGGCAGACTGCTTAATGGAAGCTTGATCTGAGCCCTGTCCTGCCCCCGTGCTTTTTGCAGTGACTATATCTAAATTGCTGTTTTCTGTCATGATTGCAGAACTGCCCTCTCCAGGCTTCCTTCCTGACGCAGGAGCATCATGTCCTACTGGCTGTGCCCACCACACTCAGCACCTCTGTGCATTGAATTTAGCGCTTGGCAAAGGTGAGGCCACGACATGCTCATGTACTTCCTCCTGAGTACTCCTCTCCACAGGAAAAGACATGGAGATTTTATTCTCCTGGTGTTGCATTTTGCACTGTACCATTCAGGACAGAGCCAAGTTCTCACAGGCAGGAGGGTGAAAGCATTTCTAAGCTTCTTCCTGTCACGTCAACTTGTCAGGGAACCACTAATAGCTATTTTTATTCTCACATCGGTTGAGTCAAATCCATTCCATTCAAAATTACTGCCCTGACATTTGAACCTTTGAGGCAGACTGCCAGTGGCAGCACCTTATTTTTTCTGTTGGAAAAAGAGAAAAAAAAGATCCCTGACATGTAATTAACAGAGCCAGATTAATTTTGAAATCTGAATGACACTCATTATTGAATAATGAGCTTCAGATCTTTTGTTACAAACCTCTTCACACAGCAGTGGTATGGGAAGATTCAGAGAGGATAACATCGTGGTTTGCCTGAGCACTGATCTTATAGGTTGACAAATGCACACGCATGTTGTTTCATTAAGGCAGACCTCTACAGGGCACTCAAAACAGTGGACCAAAATGGCAAAACCGTGTGGTTAAGAGGGAACTTATGCAGCAATAAGACACCAAATGCATCGTGTAAAATGAGAGCAAATGCTTCAAAGACCCACACTTCTGCTTGAAGAAACTGCGCCGAGCCCTGTGCAGGTGCCACCTGCGTGGCTGTCCCGGCACAAGAAATCCTGTGCAGTGTGCTGGGCAGGCTGCGTGCGTGAACCTGAGTGTGGAGCATGAGCTATGGTCCTGCGAGTGTTGCTCTATGCTGGCCTTAGGGCTGTCGGATATCCGTGGGCTATGTGGGGTCTGTGACCACTGTGCTGCACCTAGTTACACTAATGGAGGGAGGGGGGCAAGGAGATTAAAATCTTACTTTGCCTTCTCCTCATTGGATTCCTACTGGATCTCATTTTATAGAATCAGGAGTGTGGAGTTCTAGAAAGGTGTCTGGAGTCTGCTTTTAGGAAGCAGTCATCAACAAATGTTTTTCTGTCTGTATAACTTGTCTTGGAATACAAAATTCTGTAACCAAATGCATGGCTTATAATTGAGTTCTGAGCTATAATTAATTGTTCTTTTAAATTTAGATGTAGTTTTGATGCCCTAAGATTTCAGAATACTAAAAGTTATTAGTTGCAGATTAAATGAGAAGCCAAATAAGGTTTAATAAACCAAAATTCAAATTTGATAAAATGGCTAAATGCTGTAAGGTTAAATGGGGCAAAAGGTTATGACTGTTTGAATTTTCATTTTATCGGTCCCCCAAAATTGAGTTTCTGTATTACTCGCAATGCAGGTAAGTTTGGGAGGCAGTTTATATAGTATTATGGGGTTCAGAGATAGGTCGGGGGTGTCAGACTGACACTGGTTAGAAACAAATGTAGGTTAGCTGAAATTCTAGGGCAGTTCAGGGATGTTTTAAGGAAGTGTGATTCTAGTATGTTTTTAAGAAGATGAGAGAGGAAAAACAAACAGACATTTGCCTGTTTCAATAAGACAGTCTGCAAAGATTTTGACATCAGTTTTTAGTGGTAACTGAAAGCTTAAGGGTTTTGGGAAAATGCTGTTACAGAGCTGTCTCTGTGGGCAGTCAGAGGAATGTTCTTTAGTGCCACATCCTAGGATCTGAGCTGACAAAGCTGGTTTCTATGCAAAGAGTGTAAGACACGATCTTTTTCATGCCTTTTGTGAAAAGGCTGGACCTCTGGTAAAATTGTTGCAATGCTCAAAGTTCAAAGCTTTGCTCTGTTTAGACCCCCCTGCAATTCAGAAAACTATCAAAATTTTTCTTTCTTATCTCAGGACAAATTCCCTAGCCCAAGTGCAAGCTGGCCCTGTGCTCTCTTGCTTTGACTCACTCCTGATCTGAATCAGCTCCCACTCGAGCTCCTGCACTGCCTGAAGAATATTTGTCTGTCCGGCCTGACAGGCTGCCACCACGTATCGAGCATGCTCCAGGGATTTTTCTCAGCATCAGAAAGGTACAAAATCTATTCAGTTCCTCTGTCTGTGGGGAAGCCTGTCAGCAAGTAAGATTTGGAGATAACCCAGCAGAGCGTTTACTGAGTCTGCTGAGATACAGCTGTGTTTCACAGATTATCAGCAAAGGAATCCCCCTGACATCTTTTGGAGAAGAAAGGGCTGGGTAGGTCCCTAAGTGGATTTCTCTCTGGAAGATGTCTTTTGGTTTATACTGGTGAGAAAAAATAAATTCCCGGGTAGTTTTAAAGTGTACTCATAATTCTGTGATGTGTCAGCCACTGTAATCTAGCTACTCTCCTTCCTGAATCTTATTTTTGCAGGTACATTGGAGGCCAAGAAACTAGAGCCCAACTCAACAGACTAGGGCATAGCACAATGCAGTGAGATAGCATTCCAGAATATTTGAGTATCCCACACGTCTTGAGGACAGGTCAGCAAAGGCTGTTTGGAGAAGTCTTTATATGCCTCAACAGTTGGAGCTTGTGTCAACTCATGCAAGAGGCAGAGGAAAGCAGCTAAAATGTAGAATTAATTTACTCATAGGAACAGTCAAGTAGTAAGAATTTTAAGTCATGCTTTAATAGCTAACAAGTTAAAAATGCACCCCGTTTTACACATTTTTTTACACGTGTAGCTTCTTATTTAAATGATTTTATATTTGATGCAACCTCTTAAGAAGTTTTCTTCCAGAAAGACTGCAAGGTAAAAATGTCTAAAATAGTTTCTTTCATGGTTCTTCATCACTTGAAACAGTAATTCCATAACTCTGTATGTTTCCTGCAATTGCATATGATGTACTCGTGCTAATACTGCAAATGGCTTGGGTAGTATAGAAATACTACTTGTCTTGAAGAAGTGTGTTGCCAATGAAATGGACGTTAGACAGCTGTATTGTGTTCTGACATTAAGCTACTTCAGTTTATTTAATTAATTAATTTATTTTTAATCTGGTTAGTTGTGATATTCTGAAGGGACTGGAGAAGATAAGGCTACAGGAAGAGGTTGATATAAGAAAACCCTATGTGCTACATTAGATTGAGTGGGTCAAATGCATGGCATTGTACAAAGATAAAGAAGTCAATTCTTGTTTGTTAGCAGTTACTTTTATTATGGAGCAGAGGAAAAGATTGAGCTTCTTCATCTCTGTTACAATCCAGTAGAAGTCCATTCCTCATCTAAGCTTTAGTGATTGTTTATTCAATCTGACATGATGTCTTGGGGAAGAATGACATAAAAGAAATGTCTGGAGAGGAAAATCCACTTGACCTCACAGGCTTGTCCCCCCTTAAGTTTATCTTAACCCCCAGTTTTCTGTTTTGTCACTATATCCTTTAATCCCTTCTCTCTCCATAAAAGTGCCAAGATGTCTCCAAGCCACTTAGACTGCAGTGCTTGTTTCCATGTTCTTACTTGGCAACTAATTCCATGAGTTCATTATTCTGACCCTGAGTGAAATAGTTTGAATTTCCGGTATACACAATTATTTTGGGTTATGACTTCTGACTTTTGAACCCCTCACCAGAATGCACCATTTAAATCTCTTCATCAACTCTGAGTGCTGTTTGCGGGTCAACTCAGTGTCAATACTCATCTAACAATATTATGCTGGTCAGAATTTCTTCTTCTTACGTCTTCTCTTGGAATGACTGCAGCAAAAACTGGGATCTTCTGTTCAGAGGGCATGATCCTTCCGCTATTATGCATGATCTCCAGAAGCCAGAGGATTGTTTACAGCCTATGAGACACTTAGGTGCTTTAAGAAAAGTAGAATTAAACTTAGTAATTAATAGTCTTTGTCATGTATTTTGTGCTCTCCATCACTGTGCTGTCCAGTGTGCATTCTGATTTCATTTGCAACAATAAAACAGTAAGCAGCACGAGTAATTTTACTACACAATCTGAGTGCAAGAAGAGGGTATAACATGAGAATGCATTCGGCACTCTGCTACTCCTGCTGTACAGTCATTTCCTTTGTGTAGTAAAAATATTCTATATGCATTTAGTTTTCAGAGTTCAAAACATCGATGACAAAAAACAAAACAAAAAAGAAAAAAGTAGCAGATGTTAAGTATCCAGCCGCTGCATATAGAAATAGATCACCTGATTTACTTTATTCTTTCTTTCACACATTGTGTTCTGTAGCTGCAGGAAGTAATATGATATTGAAGAGTGATTTTCCTTCCTGTTGCTTCATCCATTTATTGTATTGATATCATCAAGTACTCCTGTAAAATAAACTGGCAGCTCAGACCCACTTAGTTCAGCCAAACATTAAGTCTACCAGTACACATCTTTAGGAAAGACCAATTTGGTGGAAGGGAATTTAACTGAGGGTGCAAAATGGAAATACAGATGGACTCCCAGCTGGAACTGTTTTGAAGTTTGTGTAAAAGTCAATAATAATCTCCTAAAATGTACTCTCAGCCAAAAAAAGAGCAGAAAAGGGCTTACAACACTGAAGTGGTATTTACTATTTTTTATTTCCTTCCTTAGCTTACTATCAGGCATGGGAATTTACAAGCTTTCCGACGAGGCTGAAGAAAGCCAGGAAACCACAATGACAGATCCACTTGAACAGACCATTTCATGAGAGTGATTTGAGAAAATAAAAAATATTTTTATCAGTGGCTGAAGATGTGTATTAGAAACATTACTAATAATACAAAGTTTAGTGTAATAAAAGGAGTGTTTCTAATGCACAACTGGTGGGCATTTGTTTGCATCATTACTTTTTTTTTTTCCCCCATGAAAGCCACTATAAGCAACCCAGTTCTCTCAGAAATGAATGTAAGATTACACATTTGGGGCACATTCTTTATATAAGCAATTTGTTATTCTCTTTAAATATTAAATTATAAACAAGAAATATTCTAAATTTTTTTCTTTATCTTTTATTTTGACTATGCAAATATCAACAAACATTGTGTAAAATCTTGATTTCAGGAACAACATGAAGTGTTGATAGCATGAGAAAACAATTCTTGTTCAGAATTTGTTGGGCTTGAAAATTCTTGCTGGTATTTTGGTCAAAAATAAGAGGTAGGGTGAGGAAGGAAGCCTGTCTAACAGTATGTTAGTAGCTGTCAGCCAGAAACAGAAAGTGCAGAGGCACAGAAAAATGAACAGGGGAAAAAAAGAAAAAAAAAAAAAAAAGGTAAGAAATTCCTTGCAGACCTCAAAGAAACAAGTGCAAAATAAAATAAAAATCTTTGGCTTGAGGTTAGGATAAGGATTTGGTGCTATTACTCTTTATTGTTCCAATTTTTGAGTAAGATTTGTGTCCCCAATTCTTCTCTAGGACAAATTCAGAGAGCAGCCTGAAAGAACTATTCAGACAGCTTGGAGAGGATGTCTGGCTGATATGTTCTTAGGGAGCTGAAGCGTTGGTCCCACAGTAAGTATAGTTACCTCCACAGCACCTTGTATTTAAAATTCATGGCTACCCAGAGCAATCACTATCAGAAAACTTGTGCTGTGCCCATCTCTGTGTGTGGTATTTGCACACCTCCCACCAGCTGGAAGGAATTTTCAGTACTGGATGAGCTTGCACTTCTCTGAGAAGTGATGCCCGTTATCAAGTATACCTCATCTTTTTATTGTAAACCTGCTGATTTCCATGACTATGGCATTTCAACTACTTATTAGTTCTATATTAACTGTTCAAAGCCTGGATCTGGGGAAGAGTGTGGGATTCGGTGCTGTTTTGTGCAGCTTCCACGTAAGTCCATGCAAAGTCTCATTCAGTTACACAAGTGTTGGCCTGAGATTGCTTGGGTGTTCCTGGCAGCGTAGCATACAGGCGTTCAGGCACTCAACTGCTACGTTTCTGACAGAATGCTCAGAAGAAAGAGTCAGATGTATTATGTGAAGGGGCTTCACAGTGATGTGTGAAAGGCTGGACAGACTTGTGCTTATGCACCCACTCCCTTACCATTACAAGTTGGAATTGCCTCAGCAGAAACTGCCCATGTTGACCTTCAATTTTTTCTGTTCCGCAGGCCTCCCTAGCCCTCTCCCACTCACTTCCCAACTGTACCAGAGACTCAAAGCTCTTCCCTGCCCCTTTCCCACTGTTCCTCTTTCCCCAAGCTTTCTCATCCTGGTGGACCAGAAAGGGAGTTGAGTACACTCTGTTACTCCTTTGCCTTGGGCTCAGAGCCAGTTCAGAATAACAACTTGTGCACGTATTGAGACTGGGCAGTAGAGGAGTTCTGGGCAAGGAAAATCATCTTCTCCTTTCCATTTCTAGACAAAATTCTGGGGCAGGAAAGCTGGGTCCAGTGCAGAGATGTAATCAATGTCTTTATTTGTCCCACAAACTATTATTATGGGTTGAGATGGAGAATGAAAGTTGCCAGATTGGTTCTAAGATCCCAAGCTGAGCTTCCAAAGCAAACAAAATAAAATAAAATGAGCACAATTTATGTGGAAATCAGTAAGATACAGAGTGGAACCTCAAGTGCAATACTAGTAAGAATAGCCAAACTGTTGTAGCTGGTGAGGTACTGATGGTGTATCTGAGCACGTGAATTTTAGATTGCTTCTGAAACTTCTCTTCATCAGGTGTGCTGTCCTCCCTTTTTTTTCATGCTTTGCTGAGTCCTCAGATTAGTCTACTTTATTCTCATGAACTGAACAGTTTCTTTGACTGCTGCTTGCAGGTGATAACAGTGTCACAAGAAAAGAACATATGGGCAGTGATGCCCATCCCAAACTATGTTGTTTTGGAGTAGAGCTGCATTTAAGACAACGTTTTGGTCCAGACTAAGCCATATAGGCCCATGCTCTCCAAACTATGAGCTGTCTTTTTCCATTTTTTTTCTTTCCTTTTTTTTCTTCTTCTTTTTTTATTATATTTTTTTTTCTTTTCTGGATTCTACAGTGTGGTTTCTAGTATATTCAACACCAAGAGCTATTAATTTAATGGGATTGAGACTGTTTCCCATAACACAGTGCTCCACTGCTTCCTTGTAAAAAAATAATCATGTGGGTTTTTTGTAGGTTACATGCAGTCCTCAGGATTTTGCAATTTAATTGGAAGATGCCTACAATTATCAACTATCTTCAGGCTTAATTACCTTATTAGCTTGTCCTGTAACTCTGCATGCCCTTTAAAGTTTCATTTTTTTTCCAAATGTTGCCCAGAGTGTCATTTTGTACTTAATTCATTTTGTGGATGCTTGGTGATGAATTCTTCTTAGTTTTGAATCCAGTTTAAATAACTATTCTTCTGCAGAACCTAGTTTTCTGTGCATAAAATATTATGCTGGCACCAAAGTAAACAGAGCTGAAATCGCTAGCAGGCCACAGTAAAACAAATCAGAATGATTAGTCATCCTCCTGGGACACAGATGAGTCACCTAAGGTCAAGACACTTCTGGGAAAACTAGATAGCTGGTAAATGTATTACCAACTGACTATCAAAGTCCTTGTGCCATACCAGGAAATATCCCTGACTTGGGCAATTCTTCTCTTCCTGCAATGACAAAAGCAAACCGACTACTTAACAAGTCATTCCCCTTTCTTCAGTCGCTTACTACCAGTTCTGACAAGCCAAACGAATTGCTTCTCCATGACATTCTGTGTATTTGCGGGCTAGCAACAAAGCTTTTTGTCAGATGAAATACTGTCTGCAAAGTAACATGCAGCCTTTTTTGTTTCTAGTAGGCAAGAGGCAGGGTTACCTCATCATCTTTTAAAATTAAAAAAATTTAATCATGTTTTACTCTTATTGATGTTATCTAGACTGTAGTTTCAGAAAAAAAATCAATGCATTTTTTTTTTTTTTACTGCACCACATTCTACCGTGACATTAAAGCCAATGCTCTCACCTGACTAAAGATTGCACAGTTTGCTCCATTTTGGGGATGTGCAACCAGAAAACCATTTGTTTTCATCAATGTCTTCTTCTTGTAAAACTGGTAGTTAAGGGGAGTTGTGAAGTGCCTTGTTGACTTGGGGACGAGCACAGATGCTTTACCCCAGCTCAACGTAAAGATTTTTCTTAATCTTGTTTGGAAGAATCCACAGCTCCTTTTTATTTTGATAGGCAGAGCTGCTCAACACATCCAAAAGGCCCTTTGCCTGTTTATTTATTTATAAATAACTACTCCCCAAATAAATCATAAACTCCTTCTATATTAGCCTTTTTCACATCCTCTTATTTTAGGTGTCTCTAGATATGTCACAAACAGGGATAGCCTCAGTGATTTGCTCATGACTTCACCATAGATGAATTTACCAGGGAGGCTGCTAGTTCCCTCTTCTCCCTCCCTTCCATCTGCCTCTGCCTATTAGCATTTCCCAGTACAACGTGTCAGCCAGGACCTGTTGAACATCACAGCTGAATTCAGGTCTGATCTAATCATTTGTCTCTGTCATTCATGCTGCCGAAGCTTTGGGCTGTAATCTCATTCCAGTGTGCCTTCTATCTTATGCGTACCTGTGTGTCAGAGGTGTAGTACCACCCAGAGATCTGGGATGAGCAGAGTAGATGGGAGTGGAGTTGTCTGGAAATGTTCCAATGACGCCAAGTTCTACAAACACAGGTCTGTTGAGGCTGAAATGTTTGGAATTGCATGCATTTTTGCTGAATTGCTGCAGCTTTGCTAAAGAATATAATCTTGCATCTGGCATATGGCTATCTTGGAAATGTGATCTCAGTGCCTCTTGGAGCCTCAGATCTAAGGCTGACCAATAGTGGCCTGTTCTGCACCTGGAGACTTTGGGTACTCAGCATGGGGCAGCTCTTTGAGGGCATGTGCTCTGGAAGGTGGGTTCCTTGTTTTTGGTGCTGTGCCCAGCTCTGGAAATGTAGATTTCAGCAATTCCACATACTTGACCATATTCTTTGGTAAAGCTCTCTACAGTGCCAAATCAGTGAACTGAACACATTTCTATTTCTGTAGTGTGTGACCATCTTTGTATTTGCTTCTTTCAAATTCCACCAGGACAGACAGTTACAAAAAGAGTAATTGTGACTCAGAATGTTGCCAGTGAATATACTTTTTGAAATTAGTGTTCTTTGAGCCATATCAGTCTCAAGTCTGCTTTTGAATGACAGGCTTTTTTACCTTACCAGCACAATGTGAATGATGTACCTGTCCTCTCTTAGAGCGAGGGATGTGAAGCTGAAGACACATATGTGACATTCATTTTGACTTTTTGCTGTTTGGTATGTAGTCCTGTATGGTCTTCCACAATATATTTGATAATTTTGCAATGAGTAGACAACCTGCAAACAGAGAAAAAAAAATAGTCAAATGATTTAGTTAGATCCAGTCTGTACATGCCAGTATTTTCAGGTAATAAATAACTTAATGCAAATAGATAAAATGGTCTACAATGCAATATATTTGTATACACAGCTCCTCATTGCTCTTTTGGTCACTTATGTACCTTGGCCAGAACTGCAGTTTCTAAACCTATGAAAAACTTGATATAGTTTCACAACAGAAAAAACGTTTTGTCACAAAAGAGTTTGATTATTTCAGTCTAATAGAGATCCAGGAGGATTTGATATTGCTGGGTTAGATAAATGTGATTCTTAGTTTTTTTTTCTGAGTGATCTTTTGAAGCTCAATATTTGAGAGCTTGGTGACGGGCACTTTACAAACCTTAAAATAAGATATATGTCGTATGGCCTCTCCAAAGCTCTGTTTCATAGGCTGGATGGGATTCCAAGCTTTCAGACAGATAAATCATGTGTATGGCTCCTGGGAGATTCAGATGTTAAACTGATCCTATCGTGATAATAAAGCTCTGTTAAGTATCCCTTAAAGATTTTAAAATGTAGGCCTCAGTCCTGCGGTATATGGCACATTGATTCACTGTCTTCAGCTAAGGGTTGACTTGAAAACAGGTGGCCTCTAGCACATAACACATTGCAAGATTGAACAAGTTCTCCCTTATTTTGTTTTCTGTGAAACTTCTACCTGAGAGTAGGGAAAAATAGTGTTACAGCCATATGGATACTCTTCTCAATAGCATAAAAATCCTAGCAGTCCATGGAAATTGAATCCGACTGGTATTTTTTTTTTTTCTCCTGACTGAACAGATCTAGTTATCACGTACCATTATTATTTATTTCTGCTGCAGTTGTGAGTGAGACTTTGGAAATATAAGCAATTATGTCAAAGCCACAGAGTATGTCTGAAATTGAAATGCTATCTTGGTCCTGTGGCTTTCAGTTTGTAACACAGATCTTCACTCTATAAAAAATCCAGGTAGAATTAACGCTTCTGGCTTCACACATCTCTTTTGGACTCATTCCTTGCAAGCAGAACTGCACTAATAGAAGCCCCTTCCATCGAAATCTCTTTGTAGGATTAGGACTGTAAGCAAGCTGTGACAGAAATGCCAGCTGTGACACAGGATTGCATGTCAGCACTGTGGGAAGACGGTGAACAAGCCTAGTTCCTGTGCGGCACTTCTCACTGATAGATTTTGAGGACTTGAGTGTCATTTTACATGGAGAGGCAGTGATACCCCGAGGTTACCCAGCAGATAAGCGACACAGCTGGGAATGAAGTCCAGGTGTCCTGAGCCCCAGTCCACTGCTCCATCCATCCTACCTCCAAAGAAGCAATGTTTGCAAAAGAGCTGTAGGAAATGCCTGGTTTGCCTGTGTTTCACCCCAGGAATGGAATGCTGGGTCAGCAGTATTTATTTTCTTATCTTGATCCCCCTAATTTTTACTTTTTAAAGAGCTCCCTCTCTGCCCAGGCCTCTTGCAAACTCAGAACATGTTGCTAGTAGAGCCTGGAAAATTACTTGGAAGTTATTAACACTTGTAAAACGGTGATTCTCAAATTTGCCTGTGGAACTTGGAAGATGGGGGTGGGAGGAACTGACCTCCTGGCACCATCTCAGCTGTGGTCCTTTGTGCCACTCCAGTCCCACTGCTGGCTGCTTTGGAGAGTAAAGCATGGCTGGTCTTGCCTCAGCCCTGCACCAGGTTTCACCCCGGTGCCCTTGCCCTGGAGTTAATGGGTTTAGTGATACGAACTTGCTGCGTGTTTTTTGCTCTGCAGCTAAACGGGTTGCTGCACATAAAAGCCCCACCACCCATTGCTACAAATCTATTAAACATCTCCAGTTAAGCATACAGCCTCCTGCTACATTCAGCAGCTGAGCATGTAAATTCCTGTGACCAAATAGCTGCACAGTTAACTGCTTTCACATGTGCTCCCACCATGGCCATCTCGAAAGGCAAAATCCCGGCCCAGCTTTGCCCTATGGGCAGCCAGCCAGTGACCAGGGCACGACTGCGCTGCGGGCCAGAAGGGGCATCCTGGGTCTTGCTCTTCACAGGGCAGCTCCCCGGGAGCTGGGCCGAGGGCAGCGCAGGCGGTGGTGTGACTTGTGGCTCACCCTCACCCTCCTCTGCCCCTGGCACTAGGAGCCTGTGGGTGCTGTGGGAGGCCAGGCTGGTTGCCAGGCTTTGCTTGGACCTGACCCTCCCCGTTAAGGGGTTCCCGGTGGCTCCGAGGCCTTGGCCTGGACACAGCTCAATGTCCCTGGGTGTGCTCCCTTCTGCCCCCTCATGCCCCACTGCACCTCGTGGAAGGGGAAACCACTTTCATTTTTCTGCCTCCCAGGCTGTGCAGAGGCTTTTGCTCCAAATGAACCAATACACATCCCAGCACGAAGCACTGCTGCGGCTCTGAGGGCCACAGGGCTTCCCTGGCTACCACAGCCCAGCTGCCACATGCCCAAGGCGGGTCCCAACCTCGCCGCCCGGGGCTGCACCCCGTGTGCCCACCGCCACTGCCCTCACTGCCGGGCCCCGCAATGTGGAGGAGCGGTGGGGCCCAGCGGCGGGGCGGTGGGTGCCCGGGCAGCCCGGGAGCACCGGTAGCAGTGCTGGAGGTAACCGGGCACGTTAGAAACAAAAGGGCTGTGTCCCCTTCGTCTGGAAGCAGGGGCCGGAGAGCCCTCTGAAAGGCAGCGGTTAATTTGAAACACAGGCGAAAATAGCGGCGGCGCTGGGAGCGTGTTTGCCTTGGCTGCTCCGAGCCCCGCGCCGCGGCACTGAGCAGGCCCCTGGCTGCCGGCCAGGCTGTAATATTTCCTTTTGCTGTTGTTCATAAAGGCATTCAGGAAAACAATTAAGTGCAACGAGGGCTTCCCGTTCCGGCGCCGTGCGAGCCTCCAGCGAGCGCACACCCAGGCTGTGCAGAGCCTGCCTGGCCCAGGTGGCCGTGGGGCCTGGGGCCACACTTGGCCCCATGGCGGGCTGGCTGCCCCGGGGGGAGCTGCCTTTTGAAAGTCGTTTCTCCCACCCCTCAAGGCACAACGGGATTTCTCCCGGCAAACAAAAGGAAATGTCACAGCCGTATTTTGGTGAGGGGGTTATGGGTATGCAGTTTAAGAGGATTTATTGATGCTTGAGCTGTGGCTTTTTAAAGGCCCCGATAGCCTGGGTCTGGGCTGCAGCACTGTGAAGATGACAGGAGGAGGAATACATTGTACCACTACAGGGCGCCTTCATGGCTGGCTTCATCCGAGGCAGAGCTGAGTGGGTTGGTTTAAAACAAAAAAGCCGCTCACCTCACACTATTAGTTATATGGGTATAAAGTCTGCAAAAAGCAGATCTTGGGCTACCCAAGAGGTCAGCTATGCAAAGGAAGTCACATGGAACATAAACTAATAGGGACAGAAATGTTCAAATTACATTACCTGGGGCATGGCAGCAAAAAATGTGCATGCGAGGGAAGTTTGGCAAGCCTCTCTTCCTTGTACATGTACAACTGCACCAGTTGTAACAGAGCCAGCCAGGTGTTGGGAATGCCCCTTCATAGCTAAGGGAAGCTCTGAGGCTGCCTGAGACCTTGCAGAATCCTGGCTCTTAGTATTCAGCATTTGCTGAAGTGCTAAAACACCACTACTTAAGGACTGCAGCTTGATGGCCTTACACGAATTGGGACAACTATGAAGGCCATGTTTATGCTTATTAATAGCCCTGATTCACTGTTGGAGGGTAGTCCTTGTTGTAGCTGTGACAGGACAAATCTCAGTGTACAGAAAGCACCTGGCTGGCCTTGTGCTGACTGAGTTAATGGAAAGTGAGGTCAGCAAATCCTGGACTGATGACAGGATCTAAGAGTCTGATGTTTCACATCTGGGATGGCCAACTGGTGGTCCAGGAATTGAACCAGGCTGCAGGGTGTTTTTGTTTCTGTTATTTGGGCTCACTGGCCAGTTCACATGAATGCTTCTGGGGGCACAGGAGGGAATGTTTCATTTTCTATCTCTTCTTAAAGACAGGCAGGCTGGGAGCATTGTATTCTTCATCCAGTGCAGTGTAGCCCAAATGTGTCCTCTGGTGTTCCTGCCTGTGGACTCTCTAGCTGGACAAGGGAGTGCTTCTCTGTGCACAAGTAGCCATCCATGTTTTAGATGGCACAAGAGGAAGTTTGTCTGCATCCATAACAGCCCTGGCTCTGTCAGCTAAGGCACTGGCCGCTGAAGCTGTAGCTAATTAAGCTAAGGCAGAAGGAGATAATCAGTGGTAGGAGGGAGAGGATTAGAGGTCTTTGTGATCACTTGTGTGAAACTTGTTCAACCAGCAGCTAAACTTTTTGGTGTCACTACTGTACAGAGCATTTTTTATTATGGTGACCTTACATTTATGTCTTTTCCAGGTCATTTGGGCCTTGTGTAGACCTGTGCCTTTAAAACAAACAAACTTCAAAAGGAAAATCAATACTTGAGGTGGAAGAGTTCATGCATTTCAGAGCCTCAGGTGAGCAAGATGATTTGTATTTTAACACATGAGTTTGTTAAGGAGAATGCAGCTATGGACCAGGGGTTCCAGAGAGGCTTGACACCCCTGCTGATGTTGGAGAGACAGGTGCCCTCATCATCTCAGTACAGCCCAGAGAATCTGGAAGAGAAGCAGCTGCCTGGGCTGGTGTACAGTAGTAAAAATGGAGATGGAAACCTTGGCTGCAGTGTGTTTTTAGTTCCCCTCAACATAGCTAGTGCCTGCTATCTTGCTTTGGGAAAGTAACTGCTAGCTGGGTAAAGCCTTGCACATGCTGACGTGGCACATTCACTGTTGCTGCAGCTCAAATTCTTAAGTTTAGGGATCAAATTTAAAGGTGTTTCCTTGTTCGGGAGGCAGAAATGCTAAAAATATAACTTTGAATAGTTAAGTGATGCCTCATCAGAATCCTGTTAGGAATGGGTTGTGCATGAATAACCATTGTGAATAGAATAATCTTTTTCTTTTGAGTTAATGCTCACCTGACATCTCGCTACAGGAATTCGTATTGGTACTGGGAGGACCATACTCTTAAGGGCAAGTACAATGGTTATACAGTGTCCATGTTTACATAGTAGGTGATAATGCCTTTGGCATATTGCAGCTGGAAGATGTATTGAGTATGCATTCAGGTGAGCAAGTGGGCTTCCACTTGGAGTGATAACCATGGGGCTTTCTGGTGTAAGTATCTCTTGTTAGAAAAGCTATACGAGCAATTTGAGGGTTCAAAGCAAAAACCTGCCTGCAGCCTACTGTTTGTCATAGCCAAGCAGTGGCAGAGGTCCCATGATGACTCCCAAGACAACCCAAGTGGATTAGCTACTATTCTACAGATTCAGAACCTTGGAATTAAAATAAATAAATAAATAAATAATAAAAAAACAATGTGCCAGTGATCATTAAAGTAAAAAACAGCAATCAGAAAGTTAATGAATTTTTATTTTATTTTTTTTTATTGACAATTGAAATGCACATGGATGTTTTTAAACCTTTTTTTTCTTTTTTTTTTTTTTTTCTTTTTCTTTTTTCCCTCCTAAATGTAGATTTTCTATAATTTCTGTCTTCATGAGTCTTATCTGGTAAATCCAAAAATATATTTGCCCTTCCTTTGCTTCGTTGGTTGTTTGCTGAGAAGTTCAGCATAGATATTCTAGAGGAAAATGTTTTGTGTTATGTAGTTTTTCAGACCATGAGCTTCATGGTACCAGGACAAAACTAGGCTGAGGTTTTTGAGACAGATGAGAGAGATTTTAATGTTTTTTTCTTTTAACACGTACCCCAAATTCAGCTGATCCCTTCAGTGTGAATAGTTTGTGCAAATCCTTTCCACTTTTTCCAGTGTCTGCAAAAATGAGTGTTGGTTACTTTTCTTTTTTAATGCCAGCAATTGATTTATACCATTTGGTGTTTCAACACTGTTCTGGCAGGGCAGGGACTTGAAACTTTACCTAGGAAAGAAGTCAACAAATAGTCCCAAGAGCACAAGCTGCAATTTTCAGGTGCATTTTTCCTCTTCCACATCTGAGGTGAGTGGCAGGTATATGCTACCTCTGGCAAAAACACTTCATTGCTCTTGTTGCTGTTCAGACTGGAGGGGGATGCACTGCCTGTTTCTGATTTGGGCAGAATAGTCGTATCTCACATCTAGCAATACCAAAGGGGAGTTTTAAAACACAGTTCCCCTGAGTATCATGCCTTACCATATTTGAAGAAACGCTAGGAACTGTACTTCAGTGGCAGTGAGTTTGTAATGTTCCTTTAACTCTGTGAAGTTTTCCTAGAAGTTGTGGCAGTCCATGAAATGGGCTTGTTTTTGGAGCTATAAACTCTGAATTCAAATTTTATCACTTCTTGGAGCTTAACAGAGCACTAGGTTTGCGATTTTATTCACAAAGCTATGGATCATTGCAAATTGCTTCCTACTATTTGACAGCTTCCTTTTTAGAAATTTCAACACTCCAGCTATCTGCCCGCAGCAGTGTATGATTCTAATCACTGCTATGATTTCATAATCCTCCTTTAATTCAGCAAACATTCCAGATTATCGACATATGTGATTTGTAGTTTGGGAGAGCACACTGCAGCAAATTTTTCCTGTTGTCAGGCTTTTAGGTTTTGTAGCTGAAAGAAGCATACTGTTAACCAGGGGTAACTTCTTAGATATAGGTTATAAATATATGCAACTATTTTGGGTTGCAGAGATGACATTCCCCTCAATGAATGTAAGAAGGAAAGCTGCAGAGTTTAAAGCCAAATTCAGCAGGAAGAAAGAAAATTACTTCCATATTATCTTCTGTATGTCATTAAATGGAAAATGAGATAATTCTTCCGTACATCTGAAAACTAAATAAAGAGGTCTATTCTCCTCTCAGTTTCTGTGGATAACTTCAGCTAATTTTTGTGGCAGTTATGCACGTTGATGGGAGAAAAGATGCCTCAAGTAGGATGATACGGTATACATATATTACTAAATAAAATGCTCATTTTACTTAGGATAATCCATCTTTGTTCCAGATATATGTATGCATTCCTCTTACAGCAAGTATTTCAGTTGTCAGGATGACTTGATACATTTGTTCTTTGATGTCAAATCGAGTTGCATCACTGTGGAATGGTTGCTACAGAAACCCCAGCCCATTTTTTATATGTATTGAGTTCAATCCTTTTTACTTAGAGAAGCTGGATTTGATTTTTCCTCTAAAGAAGTTCATAGTAAAATGGGTGAAACCTCTAATAAACCGCAGCAATAAGCGTGGCAAAAATACCCAGATAGTGAGATCAGAGACAATAAGGAAAAAAGCAATTTAAAGTCCAACAGACAAAGTCTATCTCTTGATAAAATGCTCCCTGTTGTAATTGAAACCAGAGCTAAATTAGATCAATACCAAAATATTAAAGTGTGCCAAACCTGTTTTCTGTAGGCTTTGCTATAATTGGATTCTGATGCGAGAGATAGCTTAAGTAGGCAAAGTCTGTTGACTCAAGACCATGATTATTCATAGAAAAAGAGCTCCCTGCTAAGGTATACAGTACTTTTATCTAGTGTTTCTTGAAGAATTAATACATTTCTATCCTTCCCCTCCATGCTGATGCATTTGAAGTCCATATCTTGCCTACAGTAAATCTCTGTCTTGCTTAACAAGAAACTATTTCACTGTATAAGCAAGGCATATTGACAACAGATTTAACCCAGACATCTCAGCTTTATTCAATCAGAAGAATGCTGGCCTGGTTTCAGGTTTCTGGGATACAGGCACAAATGGACATGCCCCAAGTAGAATCCATTTGTTTTCCCGTGAATGCACCTAGTAGGAGGTCAAATAAAAATAAATATTTTGGCTCTTCAGAACAAGATAGGTTACTGGAGTATTTCTGATTCAGACTGGAAATGCGGTTACAACAAACAGAGGTAGCATCAGAAGAATGGCCTAAGAGTAAAATGTTTCTTTTTTCTTTTCTTTTCTTTTCTTTTCTTTTCTTTTCTTTTCTTTTCTTTTCTTTTCTTTTCTTTTCTTTTCTTTTCTTTTCTTTTCTTTTCTTTTCTTTTCTTTTCTTTTCTTTTCTTTTCTTTTCTTTTCTTTTCTTTTCTTTTCTTTTCTTTTCTTTTCTTTCTTTTTCTTTCTTTTCTTTTCTTTTCTTTTCTTTTCTTTTCTTTTCTTTTCTTTTCTTTTCTTTCTTTTTCTCTTTTAAACTGGGGTTATTCCTTGTCATCACTAATCAGGTTTATAAGAATAACTACAGATACCTTAATGCCCCTCGCCTCTTTGTAGAAATCATTCTGTTCAGCAGTTAAGGAAAAATAGCCATTTGGTAGCCTGCTAGGATATTTTTAATGTAGATCTAACTTATACAAAAGATTAGCTTATGAACTTCCCCTGTGATAGTAAGAATAAATCAATTTAGATCCAGTATACCAGGGGCCCCAGATTCTCTGTGGAGTTCCACCAAACAATGGAATAAATTGTGCAAGGGCAATTTGTCCCTAATGTTTTTGGCTATTTGATTTTGTTGAGGTTTTGCTGGTGTTATTTAGATATTCACTGTAATTTATACTGCAGTGTAAAAAAAAGAAAAAAAAAACAACAAAAAAAACCCCAACAACAACAAAAGAAACCCCTGAATATTTGCCTGCAGGGGAGTGAGTGCTCACTGCAAAAATCCTTTGAACATAATAAAAATGAAATCCCCAGGTAATAAAAAAAATAATAAAATAATTCCTGGCTTTTATGAATAATGCATTGGTGGAGCAGGGGGGAGGAAGTGCTTTTAAGATTTATTCCTCTTCCCCCCCTCTCCCCTCCCAACCTGTTCTGTTGGCAGAAATAAAAGCTAGGTTGGGAATGTTTTCCTTCATTGTGAATGTGTTCTCAGGCTTTTTTGCAGGGTCTGGCCTAAATGCTGAAACACAACCAGACGCTAAATAGTGGGAATTCTGATTTATGTCTTTGTTTGTTTGTTTGTTTGTTTTTAAAGTCTGTGGGTGTCTTCCCCTGTGTGTTGACCATCTGGTTGTGGGTTTGACTGTTTGGGATGTGCCTGGCGTGCTGAAAAACAACACAGAATTGCAAAGCGGTTGGCAGCCCCTGGAGGGGGGCGTGTTGGGGGTCCTAGGTGGGCTTTGACAGAGAGCAGGTGCTGTGATGGGAAATTCAGGGCAGTGCAGAGGATTTCTCTCTCTTCAGTTGGTAAATAAATGGGAAATGCTAGAGAAGCACTGCAGAAGTAAATGGTACCTATTCAGGTGATACTGAGATGGAAACACTTCTGTGTCACAATCTCAATGGAAAAGCTCTTTGTGGATTTATAATGGGTTTTGCCCCATAGCAGTAGCTCAAGTTTGGCGGTGGAGGACCCAGACTCAGAGCTGAATTTGGGCTGTTGAAGAGCCTAAGAGAGTCTTAAAAATGGAGTTTCAGTGCAGTTCCCATGACCAAGCATCCCAGTCTTGAAAACTGCCACAATGCCCACCACTGTACCGCTGTTTCTGGCGGCGTGCAGCCTGTG